GCATCAAACCTTACCAAACTAAGTGATATATAAAAGGGAAATTGGTGATCATACATGAGGCCACCTGCTCTATTATTCTCCAAGCTTTCTGACATAATCAATGGATAGTTACAATGCCAAGCACATTCTAGGTACAATGAGGAAGTGAATAACTACAGAAGCTCTTTATCTTCCCATTGGGTTATGTCCTGATAAACTCATTATAAGTTGAAAACATTGTTCAGTTATAAATGAGTTTAATATGCTTGTGTTAGTTTTCAGTCATCATAATGAAATACCTCAATTAATCAACTTATAAAGAGAAAAGAGTTAGTCTGAGTCTCAGTTTTGGAGGTTCTAGTTGGTCTAATTGATTTGTGCCTATGGCAAGGCAGTACWTCATGGTGGKAGCAGAGAGCGTGTCATAGCAAAACCACTCACCTCACCAGGAAGCAAAAGGCAATGAGGAAGATTTCAGAGTTGCACAGTCCTCTTAGGGACCATACCTGCCATAACCTAAAGACCATCCATAGGCCCTACTTCTCAAAGGTTCYACCAACTCCTGATAGTACTGCCCTGGGGACCAATCCTTTAAGGCATGAACATTTGGGGAACATTTAATATCCAAACTATAGTAATACCTAACCTACTCAATGTCAAAGTTCAGCAACAATGTGCCTTGTAGAACCTCAGTTGTTTGCTTTCGTGATCTCATGACTGTCTGGGAGCTATAGCTCTGCATTATGAAAGAAAACTGGATTGCACATTATTTGCCCAAGAAAAGATCAAAATTCAAAATTCAAATTATGGTTAACACTGATTGTGTATCACTTTCACAGAACTGTGATTTTGAAAAATCCTAACCATAGTTAAGTTGGGAAACATCWTTATATGAAACCTGCTTCCAAATTTTGAGGAGGTTGCAATTCACTACTTAATAACCTATGTGGTGATATGGTGTCATAGTAAGTTTTAGTCTTATCTCTACCACTTATTAAATTTAAGAATTATGGGTAATAGWTTAACTTTTTTACCTTTTAAACTAACCTTTTAGAGTTTTTAGGAATGCAGATTTCACCGATTAAAAACCTGGTACATACCAAATCCTTAACAAATAGGAGCTATTATTATGTGTTCATGCACATAAATTATTTTTTTTACTTTCTTCAAGTAAAAGAATATAAGAATTAGAATGGATCCATCGGTTCCCCATTAGAATTGTAATAATTATAATTTAGAATTTCAGAGAACTACCATTCATTTATTCCAAATTGGCTTCTACATAAGTGCAGTTCCATAGATAAAGGATGGTGTACAAAAAGAAAGCTATTGTGGAGTCTCAAGTTAAGATAGAAAAAAAAGCTTTTAAAAGATTAAATTAAATGTTACCTTTATGAAATCATCATCTAAAATATTTAATACCAGAAGAGAAATAAAATGGATTCAAAAAAATAGAAAATAATTGGAAATGGAAAATAAATTTCTCATGGGATATAGATACTTCAGTTAACTTTCTTTCCCCCCAAAAAAGTGAATCTAAACAATGAAATAAATCTCTGGAAGGAAGAGCATATTGAAAGGAAACTAATGTCAATGCCAATGTCTCTTAACAAAACATTAGCAGTTTGACATGCAATAAAACTTACTAATTAGCAGCACAGATTCTGAAGTCTCAGTGCTGAGGTTCAAATCCCAACTCTGGCTCTGCAGCACTCTGACAAGTTTCTTAACTTCTTCATACATCAAAATGAGAATGGTACTAGTACCTATTTCATCACATKTTTGTGTCAATTTTGTGAGTTATTATACACTAAATGTTTAGCATAGTGCCGGTCATACAGCGAGTCATAAACAGATGTCTGCAGCAGCTGTATCGCTATATCATTATAGCTAATGTCATAAATATTCATTAAATAGAGAATGTTTCATCAGATCTGAGAACTTCCTTTGTTAAAATTCTGTTTTTCTACCATTGTTTTTTACTAGTCTACTAGGAATAGTCCCCAATTTATAATGGCTCAACCAACTTTTGATTTTATGATGGTAAAAAAGCAACACATTCAGTAGTATTTTTATCTCTTCCCAGGCTGGCTTTGTGTGGGACAATAACTCTCTTGTGATGCTGGGCATTGGCATGAGCCCAGCTCCCAGTCAGCAGCAGGGTACCAAAGGTAAACAACCAACCCTAATCTATAGCGCTCTGTCCTGCTATAGTGTTTGGCAGATTAGATACATTCAGTGCATTTTCAACTTGTGTGGTTTTTATTAACCTAATATTGGATTTATTGAGAATTGGGGAGTCTGAGGCAGGAGGATTACAAGTTCAAGGCCAGCTTCAGAAACTTAGTGAGGCCCTAAGCAGCTTAATCAGACCATGCCTCAAAAAATAGAAAAGTATTAGGGATGTGACTTAATTTTAAAGCATTCCTAGGATAAATTTCATATAGATAAATAGATAGATGATAGAGATAGATAGATAGATAGATAGATAGATATAGAGATACACATATATATTGCAATCTACACCAGAACTTACTGCTAATCTTCACCTGTATGAACAGAGTTCCATCACCACCTACACATTACCCTCTGTGAATCTGGCAGCAACCAGAACCATATTATGCACTACAAAGGAAAACAAAGGGCTCCTAACCTTTAGGTGGTTCATCTCTTGGTAGGAGAATCCCTTTTAAATGTGACAGGGATATTTGACAATATTACTCAGGTAGCTGGAGGTTGCAGCTTGCAGTTAAAATGGAATAATGCAGGACATATCAACTGAAACAAGGGAACCAAGTCCACTGGCATGAGTGACAGAGCAGCATTTAGGATAATCTCCCCCACAAAAAGAGCTAATCAATCACCTCAAAGGAAGGTTAATTCTAAACTCCCTGTCAACTCATGTCTGGATCTTAGAGAAGGGAGAGAGTATTGATTAAAAAAAAAATGTAAAAAGGTGTTCTCTTCAAAGTCCTCTAAGATATGGGGGGGGGGAGATCCAGCACACTTTGATAGATTCTCATGGAAAATGGCCTATAAAGATAGACACTTGCCCTCACTGTGGTAGAGTGTGGTATGGCTTTGACGCATCAAGGAATCTAGACATCGATGGCAGTAACCATGGGTACAGGGAACAGTGTTCTCGAAAGCTCACATGTTCACTATGACAATAGTTCCTTGGGACTTGTTGGTAGATTCTAGCAGAGGTGAGAYAGGCAAGAAGAGGAGCAGAAGTAGKCACTTCTTGTGACTTACCTCTTCAATGAGCAAGCRCATGTGAGAATCTCAAAAATACTAGCATAAACCCAACAGCCTTATAATGCCAGGTAAACAGGAGTCAGAGGGGCTTAAGGGTACATTATTATCCTTGCCAAGTTTTAAAACAATAATGATGGATTCTTCCTACTCCAGTTACTCACTGCAGAATTTTGTATAATTATCTTTCACAATTAAGCATTATTTATAACCCAAAGTTTATATATTTGCCACATCTCTTTAAGACCTCTACAATTAAGGTAGATAGCCTCTGAGGGTATAAAAGAGAATAAATTCAACAAAAGAGGCTATTGTTTTAAAAATTATAAACAGAAAAWTTTTTTTAAAATAAGCACATTTCATAAAAGCAGTCATTTTACAAAAGCCATGGAAAGGACTGAATATCTGTGCACCATCTGTCCTAGCGCATATATTAAGAACACTATTCCGAGTAACACTTCAACAATGCTGCTTACATTCTTTCCATTCCTAAAAGAAGTATTACTCCTTCTTTATGTACTTCTTCTTAAAGAACCTGTTTTCTTATTACCATTTGCAGGGGCTTCACACAATTGCTTCATGTAGAAGAAGCCAAATTGAATCTTAGTGCTAGTGTGCCAAYCTTATTCAAATTCAACATTTTCTTAACCTTGAATTCTAGTTTGACCTTGCCTCAACACCTCTTCATTCWTGGAGAGCATCTCCTTGATTCTTTGTTCCTGTGTTTGTATTTGTACCCTACCTTCTTCTCAAAAGCCTCTGAAATGTCACATGCCTCTAATCCCAGATGGTGGTACGTTTGGTCTTACTACCATCATAGTCATTACCACAAGCTCAGGACAGAATAGGAAACTCCRTTGAGAACGTGCTCACAACTCCTACCCAGCTTCCAAGAGAAGTTGGTGGTAGCTGAGGTTCTTCAGGAGGTGCAACATGATTGTATTCTAGCCAGTAGAGGAGATAAGAGGGGGCACTGAGATCAGGCAGATGACTGTGGAAGTGTTGAGGATCAGTGGAGCTTTTCATTCAGGTGGAGTCAGTGGGTTCCTTGAAAAACTTGAGTATTCTTTTATGTAATATTAGAAGATGGCAAAATAAACAAGATACCTGATAGGTCAAAAACACTGTGAAAAATATAATGATACTGAAAACCTATCTCTACATAAGACCTATAATCTAGCAAGAGAACAGAGACTTAGTAACCTACCATGCAATTCCAGATATCACATGCCAAAAACGTCACAATTAGCTACTCCATAAGTGTGACGGATATTATATTATCAAGTTCCAAAGTTCAGCTTCATGTTTTTACTTAGTTAAATTTCAAATCTTAATRTGTGTTTTATATTTTCACTGCTGCTCTCCTCCCACCAGTATCCCAGTAAGATGCCTATGCTTAGAAAGAATGAAGACACAAGCCATTGGTTGGGAGGTAGAGAAAGTAAATGAAAAAGAAGGATTCCACAGGACGAGATAATTCCAGCAAACAACTTCCCATCTTTTTTCTTAAAGAATCTCATCAGCTTGTTATTGATATGCTGCTCTTGTCTCTCAGGAAGACAGATGCCAGTAGTCCTACTCTCAATGAGATCCCCAAAAGATGCTCAGGTTAGCCCTGCACACCTTACCCGTTTTGGAGTCAGAAATTGCAATAGAAAGCAATCATACATGAGCCAAAGTGTGTGTGTGTGTGTGTGTGTGTGTGTATTGTGTGTGCGTGTGTGTGTGTGAGAGAGAGAGAGAGAGAGAGAGAGAGAGAGACTTACCTCCCAATAAGTGAGAACTCGCCCACAACACCGAGGCGCCGCATGGCACTTAGGAGTCCTCGCACAGTCATGCCCTCGCAGAAGCACACCACCACTCTAGCCTTGGGAAGCCGCTCTCGGAGCTTGCGCAAGAGTCGGTCAAAGCTCTTCTCACCAGCATTGCTGTAGATTTTGTCTGAATGGGCGATGCAGAGGCCTTCCTGGGCAGCCAACTCTTTGAAAGCATCCATTCCACTCTCCCCGTAATTTCCTGTCCAAAAACAATCAGCAGATAGATGTTCAAGACTACCGTGGCAGAAACAGCACTTGTAAATTGCAATAAGGACTCCTTAATTGCTGAGAAGGGAGAGGGTAGACTTGCTAAATGAGTTCAAATATGACTGAAACTGAAGGAAGATCTGGGCCGATCAAAAGGAGTAATCAACTGTGGCCAATCAACTCTATGAATGTGATGAGAAATTACYTGAGCTAGGCATCCACGAGGAAACAAGTTTTGTAAAATAAAGGACTGCTGCTCTATTTTACAGTCATGATGAATTGTGTTTGTCCCAGACTTAACTGTGTGGGAGACAGCAGCACAGTGGGGTAGGGAGGTCAACTGGCTTCAGCTGGTGAAGCGGTAGACACTCAGCCTTTCCATGAAGAGTGAGCTCTCAAAGCAAATGGAACACCTGGCCTGGCCAGAGGTAAGCAGACAAAAAACAGTTGCTGGGTGTAGTCAACATCCACCACCCTCTGCTGAAATGCTGGAAGGGTGGGAGATTTTTATGTTATATCATTCTCATAATAAAATGTACTTTAATCAGTGAAGTAAGATAAATATCACACTTCACCATTTCTCCCTTCCTCTATGTCACTGATGATATAACCTTCACCTTAGGGGCTTCTATAGCCCTTCCACTCTTCTAGGTTTGGGGACACCGATACCTGTGTGGATGATGTACTTAATAACATATCTTCACAGTCCCTCATTGATATTTTCTGTAACTCGCCTACTTCCATGGCCACACTTCTGACCTTGTTATGACAGATGTCTATAATATCTCTAAATGTGGATATCAAACATCCCAGTCTCTGTTTATGTCCTCTTATCATTCAAGCTCCTATATTCCACTACACCTACCACAGCAWTTTTTTCAACCTCATAAAAACTTGAAATCCATGAGCCTATTTTTTTCCTTCCATGCCCTCTCTTAGGCTGGCTTCAACCTTGTAGTCTTTCGTCATCGTCACTTCCTTTCAAATTCTTAGCTCTGTTGATTTTCCTGATGAAACCCTAAGGCTAATGGACCCCAGCCAGCCACCTGTCTACAGCTGTACCTGATCACTTAAGCACAGATGGAATAAGCTCACAACCTATTAACTGGTTTTATTTAAAATTACTGAGCACACATTCAAAAGTGGTTCTCCATAGTACAGGAAAATTATACAACACCACCCCTAATAAATTTTCTTAGTTTCTAATATGACAATTTTGTCCTTACTCTCCTCTATTTAAATCTTTACACTAGGGCTGGGGATGTGGCTCAGTGGTAGAGTGCTCGCCTGGCACGTGCAAGGCCTTGGGTTTGATCCTCAGCACCACATACAATAAATAAAATAAAAGCATTGTGTCCAACCACAACTAAAAAATAAATATTTTTTAAAAATCTTTAAACTATAGTAGGGTCCATTGCCATCCCACCTCAGCTGCGATCCTCATTTCATATTCCAATAAGAACACAGAGACAGTGAGACAAAAAYTAATCCAGCCATCTCCTGCAACATCTATGCACTTTTCTTCTTACATTCTCCGGCGTTCATCATGGTATACATTTGAATGACACTCACTCCCATCACTTTTCATCTATTCAAGGGTTTTCTCATGCAATTGTTCCCTCTCTCTTGGATAATCACTTTCTTCCACCTACTAGTGTCAATTAAAAAAAAAAAAATCCCTGGAGTCGATGTTCCACTTGCATTAGTACTTACTCTGCTGCCATATTTGCCTAGGCCAGTGTATTTACTTCTGTATCTCCCATTCTCTCATTTTCTGTATTGTCTTAACTGAGGTATAATTGACATACAAAATTTTACGTGCATTTGATGTATAATCTTAAGAGTTTAGACACATGTATAACAATCATCCCAGAATCTTCATTTGTCAAAATCTGTTGCCAGGGCCACTGAAAAGCTTCCTGTTGTCATCTCTCCTGATTTGTTCTGTCTACACTGTCCTCAACCACTCAGGTGCATTCAGGATCACCCCYTCTTGAAACAATTTATTCTCTTGGTTAAAGAGACCAGTGTTCGCCTGGTTTCCTCACCACTCACTGACCACTTTTGAGTGTATTTGCTTGATTTTCCTCGTCTACTCAACCTTGTCATGCAAGGATCCATCCTGGGAAAACTTCTCTCTTCTTCTGTACTCTCATCCCAGRTCCTCCCACTCAGTCAAGTCCACTGTTGAGTCCCGTGTATATAGAACTTCAGACTAAATTGTCCTCCAGAGCAAAACTAGACTGTTCATTTGCCAGCCTCTTGTAGCCATTCATGGACATTTCAAACAACATATCTGAATAAATTCTTCATTCTCCACCTTGCAAATATGCTCCTTTGAGACAGCTCCTATTAGTAAGAGTGTCTTTGCCCACAAAATTACTAGATAATAAAATSTAGAGCTGTTTAAATTTCTGTGTTTTTCTCACATCCAAGATCCTATCTCTGAAACACTCCTAATTCATTCTCTTTTATCTGCTTCAACCTCTGCCTCTTTAAACCATGTCTTAATATGTTCTCTAAAAACAGAACCTGAGATGAAGATTGTTATTCAAGTAATTTATTGGGAGAAGAGCATCAAGAGAAGCAGGGAAGCACACGAGGGAAGAGCTAAGTAGGAAGATTTTCTCAGATGAACATTAGCTTCTAACTGGTCCCAGAAGGAAGTGCAAGAGCACATTAAACCATACAGTTACTCCCACTTTGAGCAAGGGAGCTATGTTGGGTGATGGTCCCTGACTAAACTTCACCCAGGAGGAGGAGAAATACAGCTCCCAGGAAGCAAGTAGCTAGTATTGACAGAAGCATACTCAAATAGTAGTTGAGAGGTTAGTGCACCAGGCAGACAAAGGCAATCTGAGCAGGCCATTCTTACCTAGGCAATGGCCTCAGCCTCCCCAATTAGACTCTTTGCTTACATTCTTGTCCCCAGTGATTCATTTCATGCCTAGCAACCTGAGTGTTCTGTTAAGGTGTGAACCAGATTATGTTGCTCCACTACAGAGAGCTTCAATTGCTTTCCAAAGTGCTTGGAATGAAAATTAAAATTCCTTCCCTGGGACTACCAGGCTAAACATGGGCTGAGGCTTCTGAYCTCTCCAACTTCATCTTTTTCTCATTGTAGAAATCACTTATTAGACATCTTTCAACATCCCTTCCTTCACCTTCTTTAGTCTCATGGATGTCGATCTCTTCATAGAATACCCCAACCTCATTCATGTTTTTGCTTATTTTTTATTCCTCTGAGAGGTTAAACTCCATGATAACACCTCTTTATGAGTTGCTGTTCAATGATATATCTTTAGTAGTTAGGATAGTTCTAGATATTTAAATTTACAATAAGAGTGTTAATTATAACTGACCAGTAGAGAAATAGACAAAAGGTATAAATGAGCAATTTAAACTCAACAATAAGTGAATAACAAGCACATAAAAAATCTTCAAATCTCACTAATTAACAAGAAAGTGAAATTAAAATAAAACAYTGGTTTTTGTCACTTCTCAAAATACTAGAATTTCAAAGAAGTTACATCCAGTGTTGTCAAGGCAAAAACATTCACTGTTGGTTTATGTGGTTCAAACATTTGTTGGAAAACTTGATAGGAGTTTTCAAAAATTTTAAGGTAAATATCAGGTAAATACAGCAATTATCTAGAATATATTTTATATTTTCTAAAAAGGACCTGGGACTTAAATTTAACATCTATAAAATTTTCATGAGCGTCGTAATGAAACCCAATAAGATTTTCTTGTATCTTTGAAAATAAACCCTTCTTGTTTCCTTGCTAATAAGATTGAATGATCAAACTGGGATATTTCTCTCTTCACCTAGCCACCTTCAGTGGCCTAATATCTCCCATTGGAACCCAAGGAGAAGCTTCAACATATCACAAAACCCTCAGCTCTCTGGTCTGTGGAAACATGCCACAGCTCAGAGAAGAGCAGTGACTGATTATAAGGGAGAGAATTGCAGCTGGCTCATTCATCTGCAGAAGAGGGCATAAGGAAGGAAGTCAGATGCCACTTCTCACAATAAATGCTGGTTCAGTAATCCAGAGGTAAATAGACTTTACCAGCAGACTCTCTTAACAAAGCTCACTSTCAGAAAAGGAGAATAATTTTATAACTATGGTGCCAATCCTTGTGCTTCAATCATACACATAAAAAATTATTTTACTTCTTTATCAAAACACATGCAGACTAAATGAGCAAGAGTGCTCTTTGCATGAAAATAAGCAAATTCTCATGTTTTAAATCTAGTAAAGTTTAGAGAAATACTCAGTCCAACACCTCAGCTTACAGACAAGGAAGTCCACCACAAAGAAGTGAAATGGCTCACCGAAGAGGACATGGAAATAGATGGTGCTAGAAGTGGAAGAGTTTCTCTTTGCCCTAACMCCTAGGTTCCTGAATATTTCTCTTAATAGCAAAAAAATCAATTAATATATGTGTTCTCATAATCTAAAATAATGTCTGGGTACGTGAATTTATTCCATGAAATTCTTCTTCCAATTTCTGTATTCATATGTATTTGTTTGGACAGTAATTCTTAATTATACAAATTGATAGCTGAGAATTTTGCATTGAACCACATTTAAACTGCCCATTCCTCTCATGATACTTAAAAATCTCCAAACATGCATATAAACTTCCATGAGAAGAACCCTAATGTATGTAAAACAGCAATAACTTGTTCTTTTACTTTATACTTTAAAAATTGCATAAAGAACTAAAAAAAAAACACCAAAAAAACACCAAAAAATCCAATCAATAAATGGGCTAAGGAACTGAGGAGATATTTCATGGAAGAAGAAATATATGAAATTCATATAAAAAAAAAGTTCAACATCTCTAGCAATTGGAGAAACAAAAATCWAAACTGCAATAAGATTTCATCTTACTGTAGTCATAAAGGCAATTATCAAGAATACAAGCAACAAAAATGTTGGTGAGGACATGGGGAAAAAGGTACACTCATACATCGAAGGTAGG